AGTCAAGTTTTACCTACAATAGAGGACTGGAGAGTGAAGGTTTCGCATCTTGCTGAAATGGCAAAGATCTCGGCTTATTTGAAGGATCATTCAAATGAACAATTTTTATCAATATGGAGAAGATGGATTGTTTATATTCAAAATAAGCATAGAATGGTGGAATATAGGTTAGGTTTTTAGATAAAAAATTTTTTCTTTTTATATATATACATATATTTCACCTACTTATGTAGAATTATATTTTGTGGAGTTAGGGATATTAATATAAGGTTACTTTTAGATGAATAGTATCCTGGGATTAGGTTTGGGAAGTCCGGGTGGGGGGTGGGGAGGGGGTTTTTCAATTGTGATGTACTTGTGATTGCTTTTTTTTCTTATGTTGAAAATAATAAAAAAAAATTTGAAAAAAAAAAAAAAAAGAGAAAGGAAAAGTTGCAATGTTGTGTTCCAATCACTTCCCTTTTATTTATTTCTATTTATTTGAATAGACTGGACAATCACCTGTCTGAGATGGTCTAGGTCTAGGACGTTCTCCTGCTTGAGCAGGGGGCTGGACTAGAAGACCTCCAAGGTCCCTTCCAGCTCTATTCTATTCTAATTTCTATTGAAGCTGAAGTGACTCTGGGCGTCTCAAAGCTTCGAACCACAAAGGCAAGCATCTGAATTTTGATTACATGACTATGGGTACGCTGCAAAGGTCGTAAGTGTGAAAAATGGTCATAAGTCACATTTTTCAGTGCGGTTGTAACTTTGAACGGTCACTAAATGAACAGTTGTAAGTCAAAGACTAGACAGCATTCAGGCTCCTTGTCTATCACTCACCATTTAAAAAAAAAACTTTGGGGGAGATGTTGGGGTCCCCAAACAACCAAATTTTAGCTACATTCTTCCTGCTTCCAAAAACAAGGCTGGATTGTCCTCCCCGAGCATAAAAACAGTACTTTTCTCATAAGCCAAGGAATTCAGGTGGACAGGTCTCTCAGGGAGACATCAAGTGTGTGAGAGAGAAAAATAACCTATGTTTCTCAACAAACCTGGTTTGTTTTAAACACTAGTGTTCCAATTGATAAAAATAAATCCTCTAAATTTGCCAGGATGGAAAGTAAACAACAACAACAAAAACCACAGGAAAAAAACCAGAAACAAGGCTTGTAAAAATCTCCATAGCAGGAGAAGACAAACTAAAATGCAAAATTACACTGTCCTATTCTTGCATTTTTCCCTTTGCTTTTTAATTTTAGCAAAACTGTCTTTTTTTAAAAAATTTTTTTTGACATTTCTTCAAACCAAGCTGCCTTTTGATCACACCTTAAAATCCTTTGTCTGCGGTCATTTGCTTCAACGCCCTGTTATAATTTGCCACAATGGGGAATTTCCCATAAAGCAATTTTCCCCTCCATTGTGTTCAGCCCCAACACCCATCATTCCCACCCTCGCTGGGAATGCTGGGAGCTGTAATCCAAGCCCCCTCCTCCAGACTCCAGAAAGAAACCCAGACTGTGAAAATTGCAATCAAAAGAAAATATTAGCGGGGGACATTTTTTTAAAAAGGGTTTCGGCAGTAAATAAATCTTCTGAAAAAAAAGAACAGGACTGAAGGGCATCCTTCAAATTCACCCTTTTTTTTTTTTAGTTGAGGCAGCTCCAGGTCTTATTGACAGTGGTTGATGGGAGTTGGAGTACAGCTTGGATGGCACAAGACCCCTTCCCCAATTTAGCATTTTTCCTTTTTATTTTTCCCTCCCAAACTGCTTCTTCGTGAGGACCACGGAAATCTACCAACTCAGCCCCAGCGAAAAGCCACGGAGACCTTTGAGAATTGATTGAGAAACATTTTATTAAAAAAGAAAAAAGCTTTTTTAATTGTCCCTGAAAACCAAATTCCAGAGAAAAAGAAAACGAAGGCACTCTAAGCGATCGATGGGAATAGAGGAGCCGCGGTTTAAGGCAAGGCTGGAGATAAAAGTTCACCACTTCTCTCTATGACCTTCAGCCGTTCCTCCAACCGCCATCTTCTGCAAACATCAGCCAGGCCAGGTTGGCCACTGTTGCCACGAGCCATGTAGGACGACACCGCGGAAAAGCTACGCCTTTTCCCTGTTGAAAAGCACATTTTGAGGGGGACGTCTGTCAAGTCTGTGCGAAGACGCTGATTTAGAAACTCGGCAACTGAGGCAAGAGGCGAAAAAATGGAGGGACCCCGTGGGAATATTCACATTTTAAGATCTTCCTCACAGATGGAGGCTCAGCCGGAGAGCGTCGTCTGAAAGGAGAAACTTTCCCTCAAGTGTCTCCCCCCGAACCCCACACCAGGAGAGAACGGGGCGAGTCTCCTTTCCAAAGAGGGACCGGTTGCTTCAGATCCCCCCAAAGGCCGTCAGTAAGAGGGTGGTTGGGCTCCCCTGCTAGCCACGTCGGGGTACGGGCGCGGCGGGTCTGGCGTCTCAATGGACTGGTAGGCGCTGGTATCCTGGCTGACGCCGAGCACACCTGCAAAGGTGAGATTGAAAGACATTTTAGTGGGAAGGCCTCGCCTCTCTCCCAGTCAGATAGATAGATAACCTTTATTGCCATTTTTTATTGTGGGCATGACACACACTGAAAATGAAATTTAGTTGCCCACTCTCAAAGTTTATGGCAAGATTGGTGTCTAGCAGCATCACCCACGGCAACTTAGCTGGATGGTTCCCCCCCCCCCACATCCAGTCAGAGCTGAAGAAGCTTTTTGGATGACAAGTGAAACGTCTTCAAAGAATCACTTAGATATGAGCCAGCCGTGTGCTGCAGCTGCCAAAAAGGCCAACACAGTGCTGGGCTGCATTAACAGAGGGATAGAATCAAGATCACGTGAAGTGTTAATACCACTTTACAAGGCCTTGGTAAGGCCACACTTGGAATACTGCATCCAGTTTTGGTCACCACGATGTAAAAAAGATGCTGAGACTCTGGAAAGAGTACAGAGAAGAGCAACAAAGATGATTAGGGGACTGGAGGCTAAAGCATACAAAGAAAGGCTGCTGGAATTAGGTATGTCTAGTTTAACGAAGAGAAGGGCGAGGGGGGACATGATAGCAGTGTTCCAATATCTCAGGGGGATATTGAAGAGGGAGTCAAGCTATTCTCCAAAGCGCCTGAAGGCAGGACAAGAAGCAATGGATGGAAACTAACCAAAGAGAGAAGCAACCTAGAACTAAGGAGAAACTTCCTGACAGTCAGAACAATTAAACAATGGAACAATCTGCCTCCAGAAGCGGTGAATGCTCCAACACTGGAAGTTTTTAAGAAGGACTGGACAGCCATTTGTCTGAAATGGGTGTAGGTTTTCCTGCCTGAGTAGGGAGTTGGACTCGATGACCTCCAAGGTCCCTTCCAACTTTATTATATTATTATTATTATTATTATTATTATTATTATTATTATTATTATTATTATTATTATTATTATTATTATTATTATTATTATTATTATTAGAAAACCAAGAAAGTCCAGCTGCCTCCTGAAAAAGCACTTTTTGGATAAGTATGACCTGGATGATGGAGAATCTCCATGGACACTTAGCTAGATGTATTTGGCTGGCAGTCTCTGCATGGAGAAATGTGTTTAGGCACCACGCAATTCTTGCTACCCCAAATGGCATTGGCTGGGTTGACTTTGGTTCGGCACAGCCAAACCCTGTGTGAACAGGGCCTCGTAGCTACAACTGGTTGCAGCACCAAATTAACAAAATTCAACCTGCTATAGTCTAAATCAGGGGTAGGCAACCGTGGCTCTTTTATGATTCGTGGACTTCAACTCCCAGAATTCCTGAGCCAGCCTGGCTCAGCTTGGAAACCTCTCCCTTTCCCCTCAGGGTGGCTGGCTCAGGAATTCTGGGAGTTGAAGTCCACCAGTCATAAAAGAGCCAAAGTTGCCTACCCCTGGTCTAAATTAAAACACTGACAAAATGTCAACCGATTAACGGAAGCCAAGCCAAAGGATGTGTGGTAAAATAAAACCTCCCAAGCAGGAGGCAGTCCACCTTAAAAGAGGCTCATTTCCTTCGGGACACTCGTAAGCAGGTCCAGAGAACAACACACAAACTGGGGATGAATTGGTTTCAAAACCTGGAGCTCTTATAATACAGTGTAATACAGTGGCCATCTTGGAGAATCTGAGAAAAATATAGCTGGAAGCAGCTCCGTGCCTGAATAGGGACACATCTGAATATTATGGGATTCCTAAACCTCAGCAGTTGTTGGCAAGGGGTGGAGAATGATGGGACCTGTAGTCCATTCCCATTGCCACCAGACCATGTTAGGCAATTTGATGCTTAGATGGAGCAAGGAGGCATGGAAACATGTGTCTGGACCCACTTCCAGTTTATAATTTTTCTAAGGAGCTGGAAACAGTGTGTGAGGCTGGGAAGGGAGGCCTGATCCTGCCCAGGTCTCCATGTCTTCTGAGAGAGTGCAAAAAACAAAAAACAAAAAACACACAGACATTTGCACCATTATTCCCCACTTAATAACTCCTCTCGCTTCAGCAAAATTAGGGCTCCCAGGTGTAGAAACAGTAAATACTTGGGTCTGGAATTGAGGAGGCAGCTGATCACACACCTTTCCAAAATCTTGCTTTAATATTGCACATTTACAGCCTCCGTGTTACGGGACAGGTATCTAAATAAAGTCCCAGTTGTGCTCCCCTGTTGCAGGGAAAAAAAGCTAGCTTCTTTAGACGCCTGGAAGAAGATGCTGCACCCATGAAGACACTCTTGAGGTTTGGAGGGGTTTGTGCCTCCAGTTATGGAGCTTCTAACAGCAGGGGGAGAAGAGGGAGAACATGGATGAGGAAGAGAAGGTGGAGGAGAAGATGGAGTTGGAGGAGAAGGACAAGAAAAAAAAGAAGATGGGGAGAAAATGAAGGCGAAGGAGAAAAAGAAGGGGAAGGAGAAATGGGGGAGAAAAGATGATAGAGAAAGTGAAGATGGAGGAGATGGATGAGGAAGAGAAGATGGAGGAGAAGATGGAGGAGAAGGACAAGAAGAAAGAAGATGGAGGAGAAAATGAAGGAGAAGGTGAAGAAGAAGGAGCAGGAGAACAAGAATATGGGGAGAAAAGATGATGGAGAAAACGAAAATGGAAGAGAAGATGGATGAGGAAGAGAAGATGGAGGAGAAGGACAAGAAGAAAGAGAGGATGGAGGAGAAAATGAAGGAGAAGGAGGAGGAGAACATGGATGAGAAAGAGAAGATGGAGGAGAAGATGGGGGAGACACTTTGCAAGCAACAAGCCACAATCCAAGGGAAACCGCCAATAAATGAAAGAGAAAGTTGACTTCAAAAGCCACGTAGGAGGGGAAAAGGGTTGGGGTCACTACTATCCCGGATCAAGCAGCTGGCCGGTGGGCTCTCCAGCTCTGCAAAGGAAGAGAAACCAAATAAAAAAAAGACCCTCCAGAACTGGCCGGAGCGCAGGGCGGAAGCGGGCAAAGCCGAGGAACCGAGGGCCAGAGAGCGCTGGAAAAGCAAGCACAACAACCGATCATTCCTAGTTGAGCAGGAAAACCGACCGAGTGGACGAAAACTCCCCTCCGGGGGAGACAAGGACCATCCGTGCCCAGGATGGTTTTGGAGACGTGAGACCGTCCCAGCTTACCTAGGTTCAGGGCATATTCTCCTCCCCGTTCACGGTACATCTGGTAGGCGAAGAAGCAGGAGAGAGGCTTGAGCAGGAGGCTAAAAATGGCCATGCCGGTGCAAAAGCGCATGGTGTCGGTCAGCCTCGTTTCCGCCACCTGGTAGTAGAGGCTGAAGTGGACAATGTCGGTCAGGATGGTCAACAGCAAGCCGGTCAGGAACTGGAGAAGGAAACACAGCCAAAGAGCATCGTCAACAGAATAGAACCGAATAGCAGAGTTGGAAGGGACCTTGGAGGTCTTCTAGTCCAACCCTCTGCTCAAGCAGGAGAGACTGTACTATTCTGGACAAACGGATGTTCAGTCTCTTCTTCAAAACCTCCAGTGTTGGAGCATTCACAGCTCCAAGAGGCAAGACCTTCCACTGGTTGATTGTCCTCACTGTCAGGAAGTTTCTCCTTAATTCCAGGTTGCTTCTCTCCTGGATTAGTTTCCATCCGTTGCTTCTTATCTTCTGGTGCTTTGGAAACTAGCTTGACCCCCTCCTCTTTGTGGTAGCCCCTCAAATACTGGAAGACTGCTATCATGTCCCCCCTCGTCCTTCTTTTCACTAGACTTAGCTAATTCCTGCTGCCATTCTTCGTATGCTTTATCCATCTCTGCAGCTCTTCTCTGCACTCTTTCTAGAGTCTCAGCATCTTTTATAGAATAGAGTAGAATAGAATAGAATAGAATAGAAGAGAGTAGAGTAGAGTAGAGTAGAATAGAGTAGAGTAGAGTAGTGTAGAGTAGAGTAGAATAGATTAGAGTAGAGTAGAGTAGAGTAGTGTAGAGTAGAGTAGATTAGAGTAGAGTAGAGTAGAGTAGAGTAGAGTAGAGTAGAGTAGAGTAGAGTAGAGTAGAGTAGAGTAGAATAGAATAGAGATTGGAATGGATTGAATTGAATATAAGATAGGATAGGACAGGAGAGAACAGAACAGAACAAAATAAAGATATTGGAATGGAATGGAATGGAATGGAATAGAATAGAATAGAATAGAATAGAATAGAATAGAATAGAATAGAATAGAATAGAATAGAATAGGTTTATTGTCACTTTAAATGCACACTAATCAGCATCCATGAAAATGAGATTTCGTTGCATACGGCTCTCAAAGGATCACCACCTCCAATCTACACTGCATAAAGAACAACATGGTGACCAAAACTGGAGGCAACATTCCAAGTGTGGCCTTAACAAGGCCTTGTAAAGAGGTACTGACCACTTTATACAGCTAACCCCAACTTCTGCCAGGCTCCCCGTTCTCAACCAGCCCTTCCGGCTACCAAATCAAAGCCCCACAAAGATTCACAAACCATGAAGATGGCATCCACGGAGTCACGCTGCGCAATCGCCCAGACGCCCAGGGCCAAGACGGTGAAGTTACTCCAGCTGTAGGTTTGTGGTAACCAAACATCCATGCAGCCCCTGCAAGCAGAAGACAGTTTGATCTGTGCCCTCTGCCATCCCAACCTACCTCACAGGGTTGTTGTGAAGGAAAGTAGGAGCAGCACTATAAACACTACCCGGGGCAGGATATAAATCTAAATAATAAAGTACAGGGAATCCTCGACTTACAACCGTTCATTTAGTGACCATTCACAAAGTTACAATGGCACTGAAAAAAGTGACTTATGATCGTTTTTCATGCTTATGTCCATTGCAGCATCCCCAGGGCCACGTGATCAAAATTCAGAGGCTTGGCAACTGACTCGTACTTATGACGGTCGCAGCGTCACATGATCCCCTTTTGCGACCTCCTGACAAGCAAAGTCAATGGGGGAAGCCGGATTCACTTAACAACCATGCTATTAACAACTGTGGCAAGGAAGGTCATAAAATGGGGCAAAACTCATTTAACTGTCTCACTTAACAACAGAAATATTTGGCTCAATTGTGGTCATAGGTCGAGGACCACCTATAATAATGTAACTTAAAGGTAATAATAATCAGAATAGAGCTGGAAGGGACCTTGGAGGTCTTCTAGTCCAGGGCTTTTCAACAAGTGGTACGGGTACCATCTGTGGTGCATTGGCACCTGGCAGGTGGTATGCGACCATCCTAGAAAACAACCTCCCCCCCAAATTCTAGAGCGCGACTATGTCACTCACCATATGGTCAAGAGCCAGTGAACCAGGACAATTGCCTAAAAATGAAACAGAAGGAATTAAATACCCATTTTGACCAACTTTTCTTGTTCCAAGGACATTCATTGGGAACATTCATCGATGTCTCTTTTCGGCCAAATTCCTACGAATTCCAGATGTGTGTTTTTTTGGTTTTTTTTTGTTTAAAGGGAACCCTTTAAAAGCCCAAATCAACTCAGTTTTGGATCTGGGCTAATCTGGAGGGGCACCAGGTTGGTGACAGGGGTTGTGCAAAAATACACACTCGCTTACCCACACACACACTTGAATGAAGCTTCACACCAGTGTGCCAAATTTGCGCTATTCTGAGATACTGCTTGCTGCTACATTCCTCCAAACTCAGCGATAAAAATAACATGCCCTAATTATTTAACACATCTATTTTATGTGGAAAGGACTTACAAACCCTAATCTGTTTTATTCCGTATATAAAATTGATTTCAAGCATCATTAGCTCAGTGAATTATCTCAGCTATGGTGGTGAGGAATTCCTTCAAAACCAGGAAACAGGAAGTTTGCATCTATGACCCCACATGAGCAAGCAAGCAACAAGGCCAATATTATTCATTTTTAAAAAATATTTTTTTCACATGTCACACGTTCCCCACGGCTGGCTCTAGGCAGTTTTAAAAAAACAACCCAAAACTGTAACACAATTAGTCATGCCACCAGATTGCAGATCCAGCAAAAATGAAAACATCTGGGCAGGCACATTAAACCAAGAGAATTTTAAAAAATAACCATTTCAGATCCAGAGCGCAATTTCATTTAAGCCTGTGGCATGAATCACGCTGGTTGGCATTTCAGGAACCACAAAAAAGCCACTCAACAACCAATAAATCAACATTGTGCCTTAAGATTCAGGAATAATAAACCAGTTGCACAGGTGTATACGAGCACATCTGGAAAAATGCAGATATTATTCATCTCTGAATAATATCTGCAGAAGTGAATCCATTTTTTAAAAACAAAACAAAACATGCTTAGTTCCTAAAATTTCACCCGGCCAGGAAAAGAGGCTTAAAAACCACAAGGGTCTCCTTTTATGCCAAATTCCCCAAAATGTCTTCCTTCCTGCAGTCAAATCTACATTGAAATATCTTTCACTTTCTTCTTGAACAACTTCCCATCTCAAATGCTGGAATTTGCTAATAGATGATTAAGCTTTTTTTTCCCCCTTGCATTCTTAAAAAATACTTCCAGGCAAGCCTTGAACGGCCTTCCTTTACTTCTAAACTGCTCCTATCCTGGCTTAAAATTCTGATTTGTAGCCTGGAAATAAATGTTCCTAAATTCATTTCTGAAGGACTTTTAACTTTTTTTTAGTGGTAGCTAAAATGTAGACTACGAAGATAGAAATACGGATAAATTGTCATGTTTCCATGCCAACTACCTGCTATTAATTCTTTTTCAAAAGTCCTAAAGGAGAGAAACATAGCGGGATGTATTTATCATTTATTTCGTCTTGGGGGGGGGGAAAATCTGATTATATGAGCCGGCAAGTCTTTCAGAGGGCTCTCGCAGAAGATCCACCCATAAAAAGCTGCTCAGTTAATTAAAATCCACCCGGGGTGTTTAGAGGGCAACGTTATTAAAATGAAAAGCCCCAGTGCACGTGCAGAGCACATTCGACAAATTTAATTGCCCCCTTGCGGCTTCCAAAATTAAAATAGGAGTGGGAGGGCTGTCTGTGCCTGCAGGGAGGGAAATAAATGTTTCATAATCCTTAATTGCATTTTCCCCATAAAAACCACAATTTTAAAAAAGAAAAAAGAAAAACAAGAGACGGCAGCTTTTACAAACATCCAGATCGCTTTGCAAGCGTTCCCAGTTCCAAATTGCTTAGCGTAATTTTTACGGATGTTTTTCACGCCTGTCCCAGACCCCGAAGGCTGTGCAATTCCACATTTATTATTATTTATTGCACATATTTACACGGCTGGCCAATTCACACACGGGTGGCTTAACTCCCATAGTGTCCAATTGCTGTCCCATCTGCCAATTGTTCCTTTTGCTAGGTCCAGACCGTCACTCATGCTTTAATCACCTCGTGACTTGATTACGGCAACACACTCTATCTGGGGCTGCCCTTGAAGACCATCTGAAGGCTTCAAGGGGTCCAGACTGCAGCAATAGAAAGTAGCAACTGGCAGGAACATGGGTCTTCTCTGTCCTGGCACCTCGACCCTTGGGCATCTGGATGATGCGAATGATCAGCAGGCCAAGGGTGGGTTGCTAGTTGTGTTTGTATACGTTTTTCCTCTGTGTGTGTGTGTGTTGTTCATCAGATTTACCATCCTGTTTGCTGCTATAGTGTAGCCTCTGTTTTTGATCGAATACTGGTTTTGTATTTATGCTGCAAGTAACCAAGGATTGGTTTGTGGAAGGAAGGAAGGAAGGAAGGAAGGAAGGAAGGAAGGAAGGAAGGAAGGAAGGAAGGAAGGAAGGAGAGATGGGATGGATAGATTAGTGGATGGATGGATGGATGAATGGAAGGAAGGAAGGAAGGAAGGCCTTCAAAGCAAATCTTTAGAGAAGTGCCAAGATTCTTATCACAATCCTAAGGAGAAGCTTTTCCAAATCATTATCGTGCCCAAACAAAATTTAAGCCAGGAAGTAAGAGCAGGACACACACCCATACACCCATTCCCAGAATGAGGAAGGAAAGGAAATTTGGGCAATGCTGAGGGAATCATCCGCCTGACTCTGGGCCCCAGGAGAGCCTACCCTATGACTTCAAGGCAGGTAAAAAGAATCTGGCAATTCTGGTTGTTGTTTTTCCCCCCTTCTGCCCGCTCTGCATCTCCCTTGCTTTTCGGTGTCAGGCTTTCCTTGTGGGGCATCTGAGCCATCCGCTTGAAAACAAATGACTCAAGTGTGCATTTCCACACACACCGGGAAGAAATGGCCTGGCCTGGGTGGGGGAACCCCACGGATTCTCTGTCACTTTTTAGGCAATTGTGAAATTTGGGCAGACGCTCAGACGGGCTGCTGAGTTAACAATTTCTTTGGGGCCAGCTTCTGCCACAGGAAACCAAGCAGAAGTGAAACTCCTTCGGCCCTTGCGCAAGTCTTTAAACTCTTTCAAGGTAGACTGCCTCTGAACAAAGGGGCTCTATTAATGTCTAGGGAGAGTCTCAGTCATCCAGGTCACGCTTGTCCCAAAGGTGTGTGTGTGTGTGTTTTCTTTTCAAAAGGCAACTGGACGTTTTCCCTTGGAGACGTTTCGCTTCGCATCCGAGAAGCTTCTTCAGTTTCCGACTGACGTTCACTCAGTTCAGTCGGAACCGAGGAAGCTCCTTGGATGAGAAGGGAAATGTTTTCAAATAAAAAAAAAACCCCAAGAAAGTCCAGTTGCCTTTTGAAAAAGCAACCCTGAAGTGCAATATTAGGGACAGTGCAATTGTGAACAGAATGTGAAGGATGTCTGTATCTAATATGTGTTCTTATTTGTAGTTTTTACTTGTATGTAGTGTGCACTGTGGACACCGCTTAATTTCGTTGTGAGTTACACAATGAGAATAAAGATATTCTATTCTATTCTATTCTATTCTATTCTATTCTATTCTATTCTATATTCTATTCTATATTCCATTCCATTCCAATCTCTCTTCATTCTATTCCAGTGATGGCGAACCTTTTAGAGACAGAGTGCCCAAACTGCAACCCAAAACCCACTTATTTATCGCCAGGTGCCAGGTGGACGTGGCCCACTGGGTGGGTGTGGCTGTCGTGGTCATGGCCCTGGGTGGGTATGGCCAAGGTGGGCATAGTCACCTTGATGTTGCTCATAGGGAGGGACGCCTGTGGGGGCTGGGCAGGGTTGGGGGAGATCCAGGGAGTCTCTGCAGGTGGGGCAGTGGTAGGAGGCTCGTCCTGTGGGGTGAGGCGAGGCAAGGGGAGGCAGGGCAGGGGTGCCATTGTCGCAGGGCAAGGCAAGGCAGGGGCCAGGGCGGCTGCTGCCTGACACCATTGGCCACCGCACACAGAGGCCAGCGACTGCATGGGGGCCGACAGTGTCCGTCACCAGCCACAGCCTGCCGCCCCCTCGACCGGCGCATTCTGGGGCTCCGCAGCCCACCGCCAGCAGTTCAGAGAAGCCGCCTCTGAGCTGGACGGCCGGCCAACAGCTGTGGAGGTGATGCAGTGGGTCGTGCCCAGGAAAAGGAGAGCATGCAAGGCCAGGAGGGATGGGACAGGGGGGAGGGAAACCAGCCATGCCAGGATGCATCCAGCCACGTGGGACCTTGGTGAGTTAGCGGGCAGCTGGTTGAAGAGGGATGGTTGCCATCTCCGGGGCATGGCGCGCGTGCCCACAGAGAGGGCTCTGAGTGCTGCCTCTGGCATGCGTGCCATAGGTTCACCACCACTGTTCTATTCTATTCTATTCTATTCTATTCTATTCTATATTCTATTCTATATTCTATTCTATATTCTATTCCATGTTCCATATTCCATTCCATTCCATTCTCTACTTTACTCTACTCTACTCTATTCTACTTTAAATTTGGGACAGGTTCTATTAATCTACTTTTACCTTAAACTGTTTAGGTTCAGGAGCCAAACAGCCCAATGTTTACCAATCCTCGGGTCTTATCTAAATTATTTACAAACCACAAAACTCAGTAAAGGTTTTAAAAGTTTTTTCGTTTTAAATCAGAAAAAAAAAAGTGCACTTAAAAATCTCTGCTGCTGGATCAGTGCTGCTTCTTTTGTGCTCCCCTCGTTTGCAGAGTGTTAATTAACAGCCAAGCCAAGGAAAGAGTTAAGGCATCTCCCCCCCCCAATACATGATAAAGTTAATCAGTGTTGGTCTGTTAACCCCGGCCTGTGCCTCAAAGCCAGGACTACACAGGGGAAAAAAGCAAGTGTAACTTCTCACAGACAAAGAGACCCATTTTATTCAAAGACACCCAAAACGTTTTTTTCAAGGTTTCTGCGATTTCAGAAAATACAGTGTAACGGTATCACAAAACAGGAACCTCGATGAAAAGGGTTGTATCCTATTTGCAAGGTTACACTGCCGAGGCTGCGTTTAAAAATTGGCCCATCAAACTCGGGGTCAGATCCTGCCTTGTAGGGCAGGCTTTCTATCCAGAGGGCCAAGTTCAGCTACACAGGAAGAAATTGTGTGGCACCAAATTAGGGAGAGAAGATTTAAATCAGCATTTCTCAATTTAGCAACTTGAAGAGGTGCTGACTTCAACTCCCAGAATTCCCCAGCATAGCATAGCAGGTTGAGGAATTCTGGGAGTTGAAGTCCGCACTTCTCTTCAAACTCTGCCAAAGTTGAGAAACACTGTTTAAGCCACAGTTCGGAGCCCACCAAGTTTGCTTTCAGCTACACTTTAGTGCAAACCAGCATTGGAGGTGATGCAAAGTCGTGTGTTCCCTACCCCAACACACCTGCCTTACACCAGAGCCCCTGTGCAAGCACACCCACAAGGAGGCTGTCACTTGGGGACGGCCTACTTACTCCTCACTCACTTTCCACCCTCACCCCTCTTAGCAACACAACCACTTCCTGCAGTTTGTGCGCCAGAGATCTGTTGCACAGCACGTGCCAGGAAACTTAGGGCTTGGAGTCCACCCATGGGCTCATTCCCAAGACTTACAACGGCTCTCCCTTCTTCCCCCACCCCCCAGCTCGGGGGAAGAGCCAGCGTGCCTACCTTGCAGGGGTGTCAAGTGGATGGGCAGGCGGAAGCTTACCTTCACCCCAACTGCCAAGGTCTGCACGTTTGCAGCTGGACCCTACACACCCCTTTGCACGTACGTGTGTGTGTGTGTGTGTGTGTGTGTGCCACTTTCTTGCCCGCGGCTCTCCTCGCCCCTTTTGCCTTGGCTGACTTAGCCGAGCCGCCGGCCGGCAGGTGGCTCGGCTCCACTCCGCTCGCCCTGCACCCGTCCCCACGTTCCGCAACGCCCACCCGAGGCTCTCGCGTGTCTGCGGGGAGGCAGAGGGCAGACACGCATCCCGCCCGCCCGCCTGCCCGCCCGTCTTCCGGGTTTCTCCGACCCGCTGCCCCCGCGANTATTCTATTCTATTCTATTCTATTCTATTCTATTCTATTCTATTCTATTCTATTCTATTCTTCATTCCCATATTCTATTCTATTCTATTCTATTCTATTCTATTCTATTCTATTCTATTCTATTCTATTCTATTCTATTCTATTCTATTCCATTCCATTCCATTCCATTCCATTCCATATTCTATTATATTCTATTCTATATTCTATTCCATGTTCCATATTCCATTCCATTCCATTATCTACTTTACTCTACTCTACTCTACTCTACTCTACTCTACTTTAAATTTGGGACAAGTTCTATTAATCTACTTTTACCTTAAACTGTTTAGGTTCAGGAGCCAAACATCCCAATGTTTACCAATCCTAGGGTCTTATCTAAATTATTTACAAACCACAAAACTCAGTAAAGGTTTTAAAAGTTTTTTCGTTTTAAATCAGAAAAAAAAAGTGCACTTAAAAATCTCTGCTGCTGGATCAGTGCTGCTTCTTTTGTGCTCCCCTCGTTTGCAGAGTGTTAATTAACAGCCAAGCCAAGGAAAGAGTTAAGGCATCTCCCCCCACCCCCCAATACATGATAAAGTTAATCAGTGTTGGTCTGTTAACCCCGGCCTGTGCCTCAAAGCCAGGACTACACAGGGGAAAAAAGCAAGTGTAACTTCTCACAGACAAAGAGACCCATTTTATTCAAAGGCACCCAAAACGTTTTTTTCAAGGTTTCTGCAATTTCAGAAAATACAGTGTAACGGTATCACAAAACAGGAACCTCGATGAAAAGGGTTGTATCCTATTTGCAAGGTTACACTGCCGCAGCCTCCCTGCGTTTAAAACGGTTAGCCCATCAAACTCGGGGTCAGATCCTGCCTTGTAGGGCAGGCTTTCTATCCAGAGGGCCAAGTTCAGCTACACAGGAAGAAATTGTGTGGCACCAAATTAGGGAGAGAAGATTTAAATCAGCATTTCTCAATTTAGCAACTTGAAGAGGTGCTGACTTCAACTCCCAGAATTCCCCAGCATAGCATAGCAGGTTGAGGAATTCTGGGAGTTGAAGTCTGCACTTCTTCAAACTCTGCCAAAGTTGAGAAACACTGTTTAAGCCACAGTTCGGAGCCCACCAAGTTTGTTTTCAGCTACACTTTAGTGCAAACCAGCATTGGAGGTGATGCAAAGTCGTGTGTTCCCTGCCCCAACACACCTGCCTTACACCAGAGCCCCTGTGCAAGCACACCTACAAGGAGGCTGTCACTTGGGGACGGCCTACTTACTCCTCACTCACTTTCCACCCTCACCCCTCTTAGCAACACAACCACTTCCTGCAGTTTGTGCGCCAGAGATCTGTTGCACAGCACGTGCCAGGAAACTTAGGGCTTGGAGTCCACCCATGGGCTCATTCCCAAGACTTACAACGGCTCTCCCTTCTTCCCCCACCCCCCAGCTCGGGGGAAGAGCCAGCGTGCCTACCTTGCAGGGGTGTCAAGTGGATGGGCAGGCGGAAGCTTACCTTCACCCCAACTGCCAAGGTCTGCACGTTTGCAGCTGGACCCTACACACCCCTTTGCACGTACGTGTGTGTGTGTGTGTGTGTGTGTGTGTGCCACTTTCTTGCCCGCGGCTCTCCTCGCCCCCAAACGGAACCGACTGAATCGGCTCGGCGGCCGGCCGTCCACCGAGCCGAGGTGAGGCGAGCGGGACGTGGGCAGGGGTGCAAGGCGTTGCGGGTGGGCTCCGAGAGCGCACAGACGCCCCTCCGTCTCCCGTCTGTGCGTAGGGCGGGCGGGCGGACGGGCGGGCAGAAGGCCCAAAGAGGCTGGGCGACGGGGGCGCTGGAAGCGCGCCCCGATCCTCTCCGCAAGCCAGATTTCCCCTCCTGGGTCAAGAGGGTCGTGGGAACGCGCCCTCCCGGGGGACTCGCACTGCCTCCGCACCTGGCCAGGTTAAATCTCGACCTACCTTCAAGTTAACGGCGGGGATCTCCATACCGAAGGAGCCTGGAGCTACCGCCGCCTTCCCCTTCTTCTTTCCCGGCCAGCCCCGCCCCGGCCTGCCTCCGTCCCTTCTCCTCCTCCTCCTCCTCCTCCTCCGGGAAGGGCAGCCCCAAAGTCCGGCCCGCCCGCGAAGCGGAGCCGCTCCGGAGCGACGCCTTCCCGAGGCAGCGAGCCTCTGAGCTTGTGCAGAGGGCTCTCTGTCTCGCTCGCTCTCTCCCTTCCATTGTAACACAGTCAGGTCGAGATACACAGGGTTGCAAAATAATCGCCTTGTAGCAACTTTCATTCTCCTTTTACTGCATTTGCCACTTGCAACCCCCACGGAGTCCAGCGTTCCTGTGGCTAAAAGCCGGACGGTGGGCCCCATCCTTACGACCTTGCTTGCCACCGTCCTTAAGTGAATCGCCGCCGTTGATGACTCACACCGTCGTTAAGCGAATCCAGATTCCCCACTGATTTTGCTGGTCCGAAGGGTGCAAAACAGGATGGCCTGACACCCTCCCCAGGATGCTGCGACCGTCGTAAATACGAGTCCAGTTGCCAAGCTTGTCTGAATTTTGATCACGCGACCATGGAGACGCTGCGACGGTCACTAAACGTGGAAAAAAAGGTCGTAAGTCGCTTTTTTCAGTGCCGTTGTAAATTCAAACGGTCACTAAATGAATACTGGGAGGATGGGAGAGGGGCAATTGTATTGGTTATAGTACCAAGTCCTGCTTGTGGTGGTCAAAAATACAGGTAGTCCTTGATTTACAATAGTTCATTTAGTGACCGTTCAAAGTTACAACAGCACGGAAGTGACTTAGGACCCTTTCTCACACTTATGACCGTTGCAGCATCCCCCCGCGGTCACGTGATCCAAATTCAGACGCTGGGCAATGGGTTCATACTTACGACGGTGGCTATGTCCCGGGTGTGTATGTGTGTGTGTCCCACAATCGATCCCCTTTGGCCACCTTCCGACAAGCTAAATCAACGGGGGAGGCCGGACTCACTTAACAACCAAGTTACTAACTGAAGAACCGCAGGGATTTCCTTAACAAATACGGCAAGAAAAGTCGTAAAATGGGGCAACACTCACTTAACAAAGGACTCACTCAGCGACAGAAATGTTGGGCTCGATTGTGGTCGTAAGTCAAGGACTGTCAGTATTTACAAAATACTTTTATTTATGCAGCTCTGTATCCGTGTATTTTACACGCAAGGGACTCGCACGCAATTTTTGTCTCCCTTGGAGGAATCTGCAGGGGGATAAACCACTGTGTCTGCCCTCCTCCCAGCTAAGTTTTTCAACATCTGTTTTAAACCCACCCAGCAGGCTTCTGGAAGTGCGTTGAGGAAAGGAGACCCAGAGGTGTTATTTTGAGAGGTGAAACTATTTATTCGAAACCGAAACATGCAAGCTGGACACAAGGGTTAGCCTCAGGCAGGGGTTCTCTGAAGGAAAGGGGTGCAAGCAAGAGAGCACACACCCCCAAACATAAAGGGGGAGGGTTTCCTTTCACTCGTGTTCTGCAAGTCAAGTTTCTAGTCCTGGTGGGTTTTTTTTTTAAATGCAGCTAAATACTACAGCAAACAAGTAAGTGCTTGGTGATTTTTCAAGTGTACCTACATTCCCTTCATTTTCAACTAGCAATTCAGTTTTACGGCTTTTCGTATTTTCTCAAGAAATACTTCGCTATGAGAGGGGGGCTGTTGCATCTCTGGATGAGACACTGAACCCCAATCTTTTTTTTTTTTTTTTTTGCAAATCCTGCCAGGCTCGACTCTCCTCTCAGCCTCCAGTCTCTCCCATGGCAGGGAACGCTGGAACGCTGACTCGCAAAGAGATACAGCAGGCAAACTCCAACTTTGGGGAAAAAAGGCCCAATTTATTTCAGAAAGTTTTCTTCCTCCCCCCCCCCACTTAATTCCAGTTGTGCCTTTGAGGTCGGTCCACCCCGAAAGTTATAAATTAAACGTGCCACACTTAGTCCCCCCCCATTAGTCTCTCTCTCTCTCTAGACATTAAGGAAGGACCCCTGATCGCCATCCGCAGAGTCTGGATCTACGCAGCGGCCTCTCCGTCGGACGACCCTGCGGTTCCGGTGGAATTTAGCGTAGCAGCGGAGACCTAGCGTGGGAGAGAAAAACTCGTGAGCAAAGAGCATAAAGATCTTGGCCAACTTGAACAATGGGCCCTATCCCACAAAATGCATTTTAATGTGGAGGAAAGCAAAGTGTTACACTTAGGCAGGAAAAACCAAGGGTTTGAGTACAGATTGGGCGAGGCCTGGCTCAAAAACAGCAACTGTGAGAGGGACCTCGGAGTCCTAGTGCAGGGGTCTTCAAACTTGGTCCTTTTAGGACTTGTGGGACTTCAACTCCCAGAATTCCTCAGCCAGGCACGCGTGCCTGGCTGAGGAATTCTGGGAGTTGAAGTCCACAAGTCCTAAAAGGGCCAAGTTTGAAGACCCCTGTCCTAGTCCAGGGCTTTTCAACCAGTGGTACGGGTACCACCTGTGGTACATTGGCACCTGGCAGGTGGGACGCGACCATCCTAGAAAAGTGGTAGCGGGGGAGGGAAAGGGGCTGAACCGGGGGCAGCACCGCACAAGCCTGAGCGAGCGATGGCTGGAGCTGCAGGGCTGTTGGGGCTCAGCAGAAGCGCCAGGATCAGCGCCAGGATCCAGCTGGAGCTCGGGGCAGATCCTGGTGCTTCTGCTGAGCCCAGAAGAAGCACCGATCAGCTGGAATGTTGCAGCCTCTCCAGGGTCTTGTGATTTACATTCAGATGCTTGGCAACTGATTCATATTTATGACGGTCACAGTGTCCCAGGGTCTTGTGAAGTGACCAAAACCTGCTGCAACCACCCAGCAGATGGGGGGAATAAAAACCAAACACCCCCCACCCCACCCCCGCTGCCAATCCTCAACAGAAATGCTCACAACAATGGAAACCTCGGACAGGAGGAAGAGCGCTGCCAGGTGGGCAGGCAGGTGTCTTGCTCGGCTGTGGCTTGGGGGGCACTTTTTTCAGTGCCATTGTAACTTCGAACAGTCACTAAGCGAACTGTTGTAAGTCGAGGACTACCTGTACTTTATCACTCCCCCCCTTTTTTTGGGGTCAAGTTTTTGACACCTTGCTAGGTGACTGGTGGTACTCGGATATTGCCATATCCTAAAAGTGGTACTATGGGTGAAAAGGTTGAAAAGCCCTGGACTAGTGGACAATCACTTGACCATGAGCCAGCAGTGTGCAGCAGCAGCAGCAGACAAAAAAGCTAATACAATCCTGGATTGTATGAACAGAGGCATAGAATCAAGATCACGCGAATTATTAATACCGCTTTATAAAACCCTAGTGAGGCCACACCTGGAATACTGCAGCCCATTTTGGTCACCATACTACAAAAAAGATGTTGAGAGTTTGGAAAAAAATCAGAGAAGAGCAAATAAGAGGATCCAAGGCCTGGAGACTAAAAGATACGAAGAACGGCTGCAGGACTTGGGTTTGGCTAGTCTAAAGACAAGAAGAAACAGGGGAGACATGATAGCAGATATTCCAGTATTTGAGGGGCTGTCACAAAGAAGAGGGGGTCAAATTATTCTCCAAAGCACCAGAGGGAAGGACGAGAAAAAATGGTTGGAAACTGATCAAAGAGAGAAGCAAGCTGGAATTAAGGAGAAACTTCCTGACAGTGAGGATAATTAATCAGCGGAACAGCTTGCCACCAGAAATCGTGACCGCTCCATCACTGGAGATTTTTAAGAAGAGGCTAGACAATCACTTGTCTGAAATGGTATAGGTTCTTCTTGAGCAGAGGGCTGGACTAGAAGACCTCCAAGGTCCCTTCCAGCTCTGTTCTATTCTAAGGGGAAAAGGTCCCAGAATGAGGAGGGCAATGCCACAACCTCTGATTCTTTGTAACTCCCTCCCCAAGAGACGGACTCCCCCTTTTCAAGTACCTTCGGTGCACATACAGTCGTCGTAACATTTGTTGTTAAGCCCCCGGTTGTGCAGCTTGCAGAGGTGTTCGCGCAAATCACAACAGCTACCTGTGCCGGGAACAAACGACCGGTTGAACAGACAGCCACAAGCAGCATCGAATCAGCCCGGTGGGGAACTTCTGCCCTCTCGTAAACCCAGACCCGTCGTTCTCCTTTCTGACGAGGCTAGTCCTCATGAAAAGCAGCACCCACCTGAGAGGCAGTCCAAGTGATGATCGCAGGACTCCCCCCCTTCGGCCGACGTGGTCTCGTTGCCGCTTTTAGCAGTCCGCCCTGGCAGGGCAACCGAGAGAAAGTAGAGGAAAACGGTTAAAAAAAAAAAAGGGGGTAGACTCTTCCTAACCATGGAGGCTCCGTCTAATCCTTGAGCCCGTCGGACGCCTCTTTTCGTGGATTTCCCCAACCCAGCCAGGTCTCCCTTTCAGGGCACCCCAGAGGTCAACAGGACTTTACCTTTTTTCCTGTCAGAAGTCCACAGGTCCAGCCTCAGGTCTTCGTAATCCGTCCAGTCAAAGAGGGTCATGTCCAAGGTGGGCATAACGTCCCCCTCTTGCCATTGGTGGAACTGGGGCTGGGAGGAGATGGCCCGGACAGGAAGGGGGTCCTCCGTCAACATCTGGGGCACAGGGCTGGGGAGGGAGGTGGGGGCCGAGCCAGCTGCAGCCCCTTCCCCATGGAAGGGCCAAAAATGGTCCACAAGGCTGCCCGGCTTCTTCACCAAGGCCCGGGGTCTCAATTTGGAGCCTTTCCCTGAAAAGAGGGGAAGAGCCAGAGCATTCAGAGGGAGTGCCATTCAGAGGGAGTGCTCCTGTCTGTGGAGGCTTTACAAAACTAAGAGCCCTGCAGGATCAGCTGGCGATTCGACCCAGGAAGGGCTTTTGTGGCCGCTAACCAAAGGGCCTTCGCGTTGGGGGGTCCCAGTTCACCTGGGCAGGTAGACTGCTCCTTACACTGGAGGTTCTCTCTCAGTGTCAGCCATTGCACAGCATACAGCCATCCTAAAAGACTGGGAAACGGACCTCAGAGGTCATCTATGCCTACCCTTCGCTCAACACCCTACTGCAGGGCAACGATAGCCCCTTTACGACCGGTGGACGTCAACTCCCAGAATTCCTGAGCCAGCAGAGCTGGCTCAGGAATTCTGGGAGTTGACGTCCACCGGTCTTAAAGGGGCCGTTGTTAGACAGACGCTGGTTAGACAAATGACCACTAAACTCAATCCCCCCTCCCATTGTGGGGGACTGGGACCCCCACTCTTCTCTGCCCCCTACCTTGGTGCTGTTTCAGCCTCTTCCTTCGCGTATGGCGCCGATGCACCTGGCCCTGCTTCCTCGCCCTTTCAGGTACCGGATTCTGATTCTCCTGCTCGGGGTACGGGACAGCAAACCCCACAAAGGCGCCTTTCTGCCGGAGGTCGGCCGGCCGTTCCACCCCCCTGGATTCTGCCCCCTCCAAGCTGGGACCACCGGCTGCTCTGGAGCCTGGAAACCCGGGCAGCATCTCATCGTGGTTTGTATGCTGGTTATCCAGCCCTTGTCTGTGTCGGTACGGGGCGACTCGCAAGGATTGCATCCAGGAATCCCGGCTGGGGAAGCGGTTGTCGTTTTCGGGGATGTTGGCGGCCATCGGAGAGAGGAGCAGTAGAGAGAAGAGCCAAAGGGAAGGACTAGCCATGTTTCCCTTCCCTGGAGAAATAAAAATAAGAAATGTATTTATTTATTAAAACAAACTTACATAGCTGCCCATCTCACACCTACCGTATTTCCCCGAAAATAAGACCTAACGGGAAAATAAACCCCAGCACGATTTTTCAGGATGCTCGTAATATAAGCCCTACCCCCAAAATAAGCCCCAGTTAAGATTGTCAACCAGAGGGACACATATAGTACATCCGTTGCAGCACATGACAGGCGTACTGAATTCCAAAATAATAATATTAATATACAATTAAATATAAATAAATATTGACATTATTGATTTGAATACATGTATTGTTGTACATGAAAAAAACAAGACCATCTGAAAATAAGTCCTAATGGGTCTTTTGGAGCAAAAATTAATATAAAACCAGGTCTTATTTTCGGGGAAATACGGTAGAGGTGGGACCTCCAGGATCAGAAAGCATCCTTCCTAGAGAGACACCGGTGGAAGATTGGGTGGGGGAAGAATATGCCGCTCCATCCGAACCAGCATTTATTCCAAACAATCCCACTCTAGGGTTGACCTTATCATAGAGATGGACAGTTAGAAAAGCACCTCTTTCCGATTGGACCACATACAATTAGTCCTCGAATAATGACCGCCGTTGAGCCCACTGTTGCTAAGCGAGACATTTGTAAAGTTAATTTTGCCCCATTTTACGACCGTTCGTGCCCCAGTTATTAAGTGAATCGCTGTTGTTGTGAAGTTAGTCCCCCGCGGGTTAAGTGAATCTGGTTTCCCCATTGAATTTGCTGGTCAGACGGTCGCAAAAGGGGATCACCTGACGCTGCGACCATCATAAATACGAGTCAGTTGCCAAGCATCTGAATTTTGATCACATGACAGGGATGCTGCAGCGGATGCGTAAAAAATGGTCACTTTTTTCAGTGCTGCTGTAACTTTGAATGGTCACTAAATGAATTGCTGTAAGTCGAGGACTACCTGTATTCCGTCGCTGGCTGATGCTTCCCCCCCCCCCAAATGGCGGCCATGAACACTTCGGCACCTGCTTTACAACAAGATGTTTGAAACAATTCAATTAACCTGTGGAACAACCTGCCTCCATAAGCGGTGAATGCTCCAACACTGGAAGTTTTTAAGAAGAGACTGGACGGCCATTTGTCTGAAATGGTAGAGGGTTACCTGCCTGAGCAGGGGGTTGGACTAGATGACCTCCAAGGTCCCTTCCACTCTGTTTGCTCTGCTATTCTTTTTTCCCCTCCTTTCCTTTCCTTTCCTTTCCCCTCCTCATCACTGGAGGTTTTTAAGAAGAGATTGGACAGCCATTTGTCTGAAATATAGTAAGTTCTCCTGCTTGAGCAGGGGGTTGGACTAGAAGACCTCTTAGGTCCCTTCCAGCTCTGTTTATTCTATTTATTGCAACACACACACACACACACACACACACACACATGCACACACAAACAAGTCACTTTTTCTAGCAGAATTTATTTCCCAGAAGGCCACAAAACATTTCCAGGCAACGCTTGGGAGGGAATCGGCGCCTTCCCCTCCGTTTCCAGATGGGTCACTTCTTCCCTTTCCAAACAATAGACCCTCATTTTGGCTTTTCATCCCCCCCCAACCCCCAAGCATTGAATGAAGCAGCACACCCTCTCCCCCCCACAGACCTGGGTTTGAATCTGAACATTTGCGCCAGCCTCCCCTTGGGAAGCCAGCCGGATGCAAATCGGGTCATTAATCAAGTGTGGCGTCCCCCTTGGAGAGGCAGCACCCCCCACCGCTCAGCCCCAGAGGACCGCACGACACATTGCCACGCACCAGCTGTTGCTCAAAGTGGGGGGGGGGGCTTAAGGGGGGGAGCAAGCAAGACTAGCTGACATTCTTGGTCTGTTTCCACTTCCCAGCTGCTCTGCCTTCAAGGCGAAACTTCAGGAGGAGACATGCAAAAGCCACAGCAGATGGCACACACTTGCCAACCTGGCAGAGGGCTACAAAACCTGCCCCCCTTTCTGGGCTATCCCGACAACGTTTTGCGGCCTTATTGCTGCCTTGTTGCTGCCCTCCCAAATTGGGCACCAAGAAATGCCCAAATCCCACGTTCCTCCTTCGCCGTAAGAATGTCACCGTCTCTCTCCCAAGAAAACGTCCCTTTCGCGCTCGGCAAAAATATCCCCATTTTGGCTTGCCATGGCTGCAAATAGTCCTCCAGTTATGTCCGTTTGTTCGGTGACCGTTCGCAGTTACAACGGGCACTGAAAAAAAAGGGACTCGGGGTCTTTTTTCACACTTCTGCCAGAGATGACGAGACACAAAGTTTCAAAAAGTCATCAGCCCTTAAGCTGGTTTTTTTTTCAACCGTGGCAACTTGAAGAAGTATGGGCTTCAACTCCCAGAATTCCCCAGCCAGCATGGCTGGCTGGGGAATTCTGGGAGTTGAAGTCCACATCTTTTAAAGTTGCCAAAGTTGACTGGAGTGAATATTGTGTGGTTTATTGAAGACAAATCATAATAACCACCAAATAAGGTTGCAGCGCATGGTTACGTGATCAAAATCCAGCCGCTTGCCACTGGCATGTACTTATGACAGTTGCAGGGCCATGTGATCCCCTTCAGACAATCAAGGTCAATTGGGGAAGCCAGATTCACTGAACAACAGTGTGACTCCCTTAACAACGGCAGCGATTCCCTTCACCGCCTTGCAAGGAAGGTCATAAAATGCAGCAAAACTCACTTAACAAACGTTTCACTTGGCGACCTAAATTTTGGACTCAGCTGTGGTCGTACGTTGAGGACTTCCTCGAAGCATTTCAAGGGCCAGAGCTAAAAAGAAACCCAACTCCTTTAGGCAAAATAAAAATAATAATAAGAAATAAATATAAGACGGTAAAATTTGTAAAAAGCCGCAGAAGCAGGGGCGAAAAAAGTCAATTCAACCGTCTGAAATTCCCAATGAGCTGGATCAGATGGGGAAGCAGTAGTTTACAAAACTTTGAGGAAACAATATAATATAATAATATAATAATATAATAAAATTAATATAAGATAAGATAAGATAATAATATATAGTATAGTATAATATAATATAAGATAAAAGATAATATAATATTAGATATATATAATAAATATGTAATGTAATGTAATATATTATAATATAATAAGATAATATATAGTATAGTACAATATAATATGATAATATAAGATAACATAAGATAAAAGATAAGGTAATATTAGATAACATTAGATAATAGTAGATAACATTAGATATTATATATAATAAATATGTAATGTAATGTAACGTAATGTAATATATTATATTATATATACTTCACGAGAAAACCCGAATAACCAAAGACCTACATATATATATATATATATATATATATATATATATATATATATATATATATATATATATATATATATATATATATTACCTATATTTTAAACTATTTCATTTTAGACTGTATTTTATTCCAATTTCATTTTATTTTATTCCAATTTCATTTTAAATTGTATTTTATCTAATTCCATTTTAAATTGCTTTTATCTAATTTTAGTAATAATATTTTTATGAAAACTTTTCACTTTGATTGGCCAAGGGCCAATTGGCCAAGGGCCAATCAATCAATCAATCAATCAACCTTTGAGGAAACACAGCATTGTTTCCTTTCTGAAACAGCAAACAATAAAAGGCAGATAAGGCCGGCATTCGTCCTCCGAGAGTCCCTGGCAGCATCCACACATTCAGAGACGCCTCCCACCAAGCCAGGGTTTTGCCAGGGCTCCGGCGTCCTTTGAGCTCCCCCTTCGGGACATCGTGTCGGGCAAGCTGGTCTCCGTGCCAAGCCACAAAACAGGTGCGGCATTCACACCAGCCGCCCGGGCTGCGTGACAACCTCCCTCCCCACACGACGCTCCCTGTCTGGATGACAACTTCGCAGGAAGGAGGATGCTGAGCGGATGGGAAAAGGCCACAATCGCAGCAGCTCCTGGGACAAACTATTGTTGGGTTGTGCTTCCAAGCGGATGGACTGGATGTGCCCGCCTTGGGTTGCCAAAGGAGCCGCATCGGCGGGATTTGGCAGGGGCCAGGATGGCCTTTGAGCCCAAGCTGGGCTCACCAGCCACCCTGCCGCGAGTGACGGGGGAAGGGGGGAACCACCATTGTTGGCCAAATGAGTTTTTCCCGCCCTGCTGAGCCAGCCTCCATCTGCTCTCCCGAATTCCAGTGGCAGAGGCCGTTTGGGCCACAACAGAGAGAGGGAAAGACACAAAATCGCTTGTGTAAAATGACAGCCCTGTTTCCTTCTTCCCAAATCCTCCCCCCCCCCCCGGTCTGTTTGTGTTTTCCAAGCCAAGCCCTGCTTTGATTTTTGGTAAAAATCGGCCCCCTCCACCGCCTCGGATGCAAAAGGACCTGGCTGACTGAAATTTTGGCCTGTTTTGAATCCATTTCAGGGCTGGGTGGGCAATTTCCCCTCACCTTCAATTGCCCCCCGGCCTTCAGAGAGGGGCAGCTCTAAGCAGCCCCCTCCTCACCTGGGACCCGTTCCAGGCAGAGGAACTCGTGAAGTAGTTCCAAGACTTGAATACAGATCGTCCTCAGGTTACGACCACAACAGAAGCCCAAATTTCCGTCGCTAAGCGAGACAGTCGTTAAGGGAGTTTTGCCCCATTTTACCCCTTTTCTTGGCACGGTGGCTAAGTGAACTACCGCGGTTGTTAAGCCAGTCACACACGGTTGTTAAGTGAATCCGGCTTCCCCCATTGACTTCGCTTGTCAGAAGGTCCCAAAAGGAGATCACATGACCCCTGGGGATGCTGCGACCATCATAAATATGAGTCAGTTGCCCGGCATCCAAATTCTGATCACGTGACCATTGGGGATGGTTGTAAGTATGAAAAATGCTCGCAGGTCCCTTTTTTCAATGCCGTTGTAACATCGAACGGTCACTAAATGACACTGTTGTAAGTCAAGGACTTCAACCTTGTGGTGGTCTTGTTTGGGAAACACAAAATAACTTTGCTGCTGTGTGTTAAATAACACAGGTGATCCTCGACCTGTATTTATTAATTGAGTGATCGTTCAAAGTTACGCCACTGAAAAAAAAGAGACGTAGGGCCGTTTTTCACACGATTGTTGCAGCAGGATCAAAATTCAGATGTTTGGCCACTGACTCGTATTTATGACGGTGGAAGTGTCCCGGGGGGGTCACGACCTTCTGACAAGCGAAGTCAATGGGGGAAGCCAGATTCACTGACTAATTAAACAAATGCAGTGAGAGTCCCTTAACAAACGTGGCCAGAGAAGTCGTAAAACGGGGGCAAAACTCACTGAACAAACGTTTCACTTAGCAACGTCAATTTGGGGCTCAGTCGTAACTCGAGGATTACCTGCAATCCCAAATATTCTTCAGCCAGGCAAAATCTCTTTCAGTTAACCCAGTTTTCTGCGTTACAGAATCAAAATCTCTTCCAAAATTACCTATGCCCATCCACACCTGACCCCCACTTAGTTTCCTGAAATCAGCCAAAGGCACGACATTTGGGGGAAAACAAGAGAACAAACCCCTTTCTGACATCAGTGGGGCATATTTTCCAAAAAGTATTCGATTTCAGGTTTAAAATATTTAAAATATTCTAGGTGGTAAGCCGAAGGAGGCTGGGGAAAAAAAAACCCATACGTCAAGCAATTGACAGGGAGAGTTGCCAAAAACTGCATTGAAATTGTTAAGATCCACGATGTTTCAGAAAGTCATCAGCCCCTTAAGTCAGGGTTTTTCAAACTTGGCAACTTTAAGAGGTGTGGACTTTAACTCTCTGGGAGTTGAAGTCCACACCTCTTAAAGTTGTCAAGGTTGAAAAACCCTGACTTGAGTGAATGTTGTGTGGATTGTTTACAGGACAAATCACAATAACCACCAAAGAATGGAATGGACTAGGCTAGGCTAGGCTAGGCTAGAATAGAATAGAATGGAATGGAATAGAATAGAATAGAATAGAATAGGAATGGAATAAAAATAGAATGGAATGGAATAAAAATAGAATGGAATGGAATAAAAATGGAATGGAATGGAATAGAATAAAAATAGAATGGAATGGAATAGAATAAAAATGGAATGGACTGGAATGGAATAGAATAGAATAGAATAGAATAAAAAGGGAATGGAATGGAATGGAATAAAAAGGGAATAATAGAATGGAATAGGAATGGAATGGAATAGAATAAAAATGGAATGGAATGGAATAGAATAGAATAAAAAGGGAATGGAATGGAATAGAATAGAATAAAAAGGGAATAGAATAGAATGGAATGGAATAGAATGGAATGGAATAGAATAGAATAAAAAGGGAATGGAATGGAATGGAATAGAATAAAAAGGGAATAGAATGGAATGGAATAGAATAGAATAGAATAAAAAGGGAATGGAATAGAATAGAATAGAATAGAATGGAATGGAATAGGATAGGATAGGATAATCCAAGCTGATTTAAAAAAAACCATACCTAACTCTTAGCATGCATTCCAAACTACATGTTCCAGGTAACTGAGCAGCAAAGATGCAGATTTATTTTCCTAAGCAAGTCCACCAGCTCAGGGTCAACCCCAGATAAAATCACAGTTAGAAAATGTAGAATCTGGGAATCCAAGCTTGGCAGGAAAATAAAACATCAATTGGGCTGAAAAAAAAGTGCCAAACCCCGCATTGGCATGTCCACCGCAAAGCTCAAAGCAAACCAAGATATTCCTGCTTGGCCAATTGAACCCACATTTTGCAGTTAAACCCTTGTTATTGTAACTCTCTCTCTCTCTCTCTTTGATTATTTGAAGTTTTGAGTCAAGGGCAAATTCTTCATATTTGTAAAAATAAGATCCTAAGCAGCCTTTCTCTCTCTCTCTCTGAAAGCCCATCAGCCTGATTGCAACAGAGAGAATAAAATTGGCAATCCCACCAACTCAGTGGGGTGTGTTTGTGTGCATGTGAAAGAGCTGGCTTGTGCAAGCTTGTTTAAAGAAAAGATAAAACCTTCTAAAAAAAAGAATTTGACAAAAAAGGGGGAGATAGATAAAGAAACTGTCTGTCAGAATGATCACCCCCTTTTTCCAGCCTTAAGTTTGACAATGTAGACTTTATCTGCAATTTCAACCACCAACTCAGCCTCCGTTTGGGACAGTTTTTAAAATAAATAAATGCATTTCTTTTTGTTTAAAAAATAATGTTTTCTGAGTGTATCCCTTGGAGGCAAAAGGAGGGGGGAAATGGGGGCTTTTGTTTGCATTCTCTAGGGAGAAGATAGACAGTATCACACAAGAGCGTAGTAGCTATAATATTATCCTCATCATTATTTGGGGATTTATCGATTAATAGGCTTACCTGCCAAGCCAAAGGGACTCAGCATGATTCTAGTCCCTTTGTTAGGATGACTATAGCAGTTTTTAAAAACCAAACCTGGAGGGATGCCACTGAAATAAGTCACATGCAAATGCAAACACGGGAATGCAATTGTTAGAAATTAAGTTTTTAATGTCTTCCCTAAAAGCCTCTCCCACCTCCGTAGGCCCAATCCTGAATCATATCCCCGGCTGTCCTTGTCCCGGCTCACCTTTGCTGAGGCACCAGGTGGAAGGCAGAATCTCTTTTGAAAATGCAGTTAATCAAATGCACACACACACAACCCCCAACACACAAACATAATACAGTAGGAGATTTGTTGTTTTTTTCCCCCACTTAATGGAAAACATACCTCCTGCTTTTTAATTTCTTCAGCCAAACAGAGATTTTTTTCTAAGTCACTTAGCAGGAGTGGAACATTTTTAAGTTTCTGGGTTTTTTTTTTAAAATCCAAAGTCTGGGATTGAAGGCAGGTCCACCCTGCCTCTCCTCCACCCACCCAATGACCCCCCCCCAGCCAACCACTTTGGACTACTCACCACCCAGAGAGACCGAGCGAGCGATGGACCCACCACACTGGCTGCGTCTGCCTTCTCTGATAGACTGGCCCAGCTAGTGGCAAAGCAGAGAGGGGGGAGTGGGGGAATCAGGGGCTGGGGTCCTCCCCTCCCTCCCTCCTGGGGGGGGGAGTCTGGAGGAAAAGAAGGGGAGGGTGTGAAAAGGGGCGTGTGTTTTGGGCAGGCTTTATTTATTTATTTAGTGGGAGGGGGGGTGGAATAAGTGATAGCTGGGCATTGCAAAGAGGGGAGGGGCACTCTCCTCTCCAGAGACTTTCTTTCTCTCTCCCCCCCCCCCCAAATAGGGACCCAGCTCAACAAAGGGAACAAAGAGCTGGGATGGAGCCAGTGGACCTCAGCCCCGGAGAAGAAAAGGGCACCATGGGGAAATGCAGATGAGGGGGAGTAGATCTATCTTCCACCCGCATCCCCCCCCCATGGGAGGATTGGGGGCATTTAACCGCCTGCCACGCACAACCCCCCCCCCCCCTACACACTTCGCTTCTGCCTACCTCGCAGCCCTGCTTCGTCTTCCCGGCCTCCATCCTCAAGCCCTTCCCAGGTGCATTGTGGGAAACTCCCCTAAGAAAGGGTGCTTAACGGGGGGGGGAACAGGATGGCCACAAGACCCTGAAGGGAGGGGGTTAGGGTTAGGGGAAAAGCCCCCCTCCCGAAATGAACGAAGACAACCTCTCCAGTCGGAAGCAGCGCCCGCCGCGTTTCAGTCCATCGGGGGTCCGCGTGGGGTGGGGGGCTGCTTACTCGGGAGTAAAGCCTCGCAAGGGAAGTGTTGGCGCAGCGCCTGCAGCTGGGTGGTCCTTGTCCTCCTGCACCCCCCCGACCCCTGTGGCTTGCATTCCCGGGCCCATCATCCCCAGCCAGAGGAAGGAAGGAAGGGCAGCCCCCTTCCCGACCCCTGTGGCTTGCATTCCCGGGCCCATCATCCCCAGCCAGAGGAAGGAAGGAAGGGCAGCCCCCTTCCCGACCCCTGTGGCTTGCATTCCTGCGCCCATCATCCCAAGCCCGGGACAGGAAGGGCAGCACTGCCTCCCCACCCCTGTGGCTTGCATTCCTGCGCCCATCAGCCTCAACCCGGGGAAGGAAGGAAGGGCAGCCCCCTTCCCGACCCCTGTGGCTTGCATTCCCGCGCCCATCGTCCCCAGCCTGGGGAAGGAAGGGCAGCCCCCCCCGACCTCTTCGGGTTGCATTCCCGGGCCCATCATCCCCAGCCCGGGGAAGAAGGGNGGCTTGCATTCCGCGCCCATCATCCCCAGCCCGGGGAACGAAGGGGTCTCCGCGGAGCCCGGGCGCTAAGACCGCGGGCGGGCGAGCGAGCGAGCCGGGCTGGGCGCGTCCAACAGCCGCTCCGCCTTCCCTTCCGCCGCCATCAGATCCGAGCAGCCTCCGCCGCCGGGAAGGTAAGCCGGGAGCCCGTCTCGGGGCTCCGAAGCAGGCGCGGGGAAGGGCAGCCGGCACAGCTGGCCCGGGCAGCCCCCGGGAATCCAGCGGTTTTGCCTCCCCCCCTCCCGGGGGAAGGGGCTGCAGCCCCCCGCGGCTGCTACTGACCATGCTTTGTCCTTTTCTCGGCAAGCCCTCCGGGAGGATGACCACTCTAACGCGCCAGGACCTCAACTTCGGACAAGGTACCACGAGGAGATCGCGGGGTCCTGACTGGAATCGCTATAGGGGGTGCATTCAAAGCCCTCAAAGGTCCCTCCGGCTCAACGTTTCTCAAGGTTGGCCGCGGGAAGAGGTGTGGACTTCAACTCCCAGAGTTCCTCAGCTGCCCCCAGGGAAGTCTGGGAGTGGAAGTCCACACCTCTTTACATTTGGACTTCAACTCCCAGAATTCCTCAGCTGGCTGCAGGGAAGTCTGGGAGTTGAAGTCACACCTTTTCATGTGTGGACTTCAACTCCCAGAATTCCTCAGCTGGCCCCAGGCAATTCTGGGAGTTGAAGTCCACACCTCTTCCGGTGGCCAAGCTTTGAGAAACGCTGCTTTTATTGCTAGGATGTTGTGATTTTTAATACAGTTAAAATTCACCTGCTTATTTATTCAATGGATCAATCTGCCAAACTAATCAATGATTTCTGCTTACAATCAGTTCAGCCCTTGTGGGGTCCTTTCTGCATAAAGGGGGGGATTATAATTTAAATAATTATAATTAATAATAATTATAATAAATAATAAATAAAGCAGCTCCGGTACTAATTTTAAATACAGTTTAAGCTGATCTTTCCAATTCCCCCCCTTTAAAAAAACCTCGTTTTTATTTTCATTTTTTTCTTCTTTTTTCTAGTGGTCGCTGATGTCCTTTCTGAATTTTTAGAAGTAGCCATTCACCTTATCCTTTACGTCCGAGAAGTTTACCCCACTGGAATTTTCCAGAAGAGGAAAAAATATAATGTACCTGTTCAGGTAAGAGGTAATACAGTACAGACTGGATGTATAAAAAAAAAATAGGGGTCTATCCCAGTTTTGACCTGACATTAGAAGATGTTTTTTTAAAAAAATGCTCTTGCATGCAAGATGTAGAATATTTGCAAATTAAAACGTCTTTTAGAGGTGGTTAAACTCCTACTTCTCCTTTCCCCGCCACATTTATTTGCTAACTTTTATGCCTCTTTACAAAATTTTCCACTTGAGCATTGCTAATCTTCTCTAAAAAGGTTCAGAGAAGCTGCAGTTATCTTTCATTAATGTTTGCAGTTTCAGTCACTTAAAAGATCGGTCCAGCGTCTTATTTAACAACAAAAATATTCCAAACGTGCCTCCTTAAATAGGAATCAAAACAAGTGGGTTGGGATGAAATAAATGGCTCATGTTGTGTGAAAATAGAGTACATATGAAAAGAAGGCAGTAAAAACTAAAAAAAAGCCACTCTTAGCCAAAATTACTTAGTCTTACCATGCATATTTAAAACAAAAATATTGAAAAAGGAAGTGAAAATAAAAAGCATAGTTTGCAGTTAAAGGCCCAATATATTTCCCCCCCACAAAACTTAGCAGAGACTTTTATGTTAGATTAAATCTCACTGTGCAACTAATTGAGTATCCAACTATTTAGAATTGCGGTTTAGTAAAACGGGAAAATAATTGATCTAAAACTGAAAATTGAGGGCTTAGCTTTCCAGTGAACCTGTTAAGAAGTTGGGCTGAAATTAAGATAAATTACCCAGCCAGCATCCCCCCTATTAACTAAAACTAGATTTGTTTGAAAGAGAAACACAGAGGGTTAACTCAAACGGATTTCTAGCGGTACCTGAACTAAATGCCTTGCATCCACAGATGTCCTGCCATCCCGAACTCAATCAATATATTCAGGATACCCTCCACTGCGTCAAACCTTTGCTAGAGAAGGTGAGTCTTAAAATGTTTGGGGCTGCATCTGGGTCAGTCACTGGTACCAGAGTCTTCCGAGCTTTTGGATTCGTGCTGGAGCCCATCCTCAGGGAACGTGTGTGTGTGTGCGCGCGCTTTGGGCTGTTCTCCATGTATTTATATGGTGCCTGTTGTGTATGTGGCTTTGTAGATGTTGATTGGGGTGTTGATGGCTGGCGACCGCCTCCTAAATACTTGATAGGCTGGTGGTAAATTCAGCACTCCCGTTGANCTTCCGAGCTTTTGGATTCGTGCTGGAGCCCATCCTCAGGGAACGTGTGTGTGTGTGCGCGCGCTTTGGGCTGTTCTCCATGTATTTATATGGTGCCTGTTGTGTATGTGGCTTTGTAGATGTTGATTGGGGTGTTGATGGCTGGCGACCGCCTCCTAAATACTTGATAGGCTGGTGGTAAATTCAGCACTCCCGTTGACGGGCAAAGGGCCCGTTTCCCAGGCTTCAATAAATTCCCTGGCTGTTTTTGTACCTGCTCGTCCAACAATCTTAGTAGCTGCGAAATTGAATGTATGTACTTGTTCATTGCAGCGTGAGGCTACCACTGAGTTCGGGTCTCCTCCTTGTGTTCTTGCAATCTGGGGGTTGGCTTCCTCCCTGTCTGTCCTACATAGTCACAGGGGCAATCCATGCAGGGGATCCGGTAGATTACATTGGAAGTATCTCTCACCTCCAAGTGATCTTTACGATGCATAATTTTTCCTCGTATGGTAGCCTCTGGGCGGTGTGCGATGCCCACTTGCAGGTCTTGGAAGCTGTGTTCTACTGCAGTGATGGCGAACCTTTTAGAGACTGAGTGCCCAAACTGCAACCCAAAACCCACTTATGCATCGTCGAGTGCCGGGTGGGCGTGGCTGCAGTGGTAACGGCAGAGTGGGTGGGACTAAAAAGATCAATCAATCAATTCCAACTTTGCAAGATCTTTTTTTCCCGCGAGAAGTTGAAATGGACTGGTTGAACCTTTTTTTTTTTGCACACGGTGGTGGAGGCCTAAAGTGAAAAGGTTTTATAAAACCCAGTTGAAGGCCTAAGACTGGGGCGACAGGACGCGTGCCCACAGAGAGGGCTCTGAGTGCCGCCTCTGGCACCCGTGCCATAGGTTTGCCACCACTGTTCTACTGCTTCCGAAATGTTTTTGATGTATCAGTTTCCTGGTATTTCATAGCAAACCTGCTTGTGTGAATACTCAAACCAAGGAAACCAGCTCAATATGGCCTACCTGTGTGCAGGCTTCTGGAGTTCTTCTTCAGAGAGATAATATTACTTTTATCCTGCTTGTTTCACAACCTTTTTCAGAACGACGTGGAGAAAGTGGTAGTGGTCATCCTTGATAAGGAACACCATCCAGTAGAAAGATTCGTCTTTGAGATCATGCAGCCACCATTGCTGGCCATCAGGTGAGGGTCCTCGTTCCTAAACCCCGAATGCTGGCCTGCTGGTCCTCGTCACACCCACCAAATTCTGGAAGGCAGGAGAGCTTGATTTACCAGTCTTTCCTCCACAAAAACTCAGCCACCATTTCTGGCTTATCCTCCAGAATGCGAGGAGAGCAAATATTCAAGACTGCTGAATGTAGGAACAAAATAGAAGTATTGATTTGCAAATATAATGAATTAACATACAGATTAGAAGCTGCTTTGGGATCTGATTGACCAGGCTGGTTCTGCATCAGGTGTATGGACTTCAACTCCCAGAATTCCCTAGCCAACTCTCAGGGAATTCTGAGAGTTCCAGCTGTGGAATTCTGGGAGTTGAAGTCCACACATCTTCAAGTTTGCCAAGGTTAAGAAACACGGGTTTAATCACTCCATGGCCCCTGATTATTAGTATTAGTAGCATTAAAACTTAGAAATATGGAGCAGGATAAGGGGAGAATATAATTATAAAACAATATTTAACCCGAGTTAAATATTGAGGAAGGCAGTAAACCAGTATCTCAAGTGGATTTTCAAAGTCAGTTTGGGGTCTTGTCTTAAATCTTGCAAATAAATCCTTACAGACCATTGAGGACTCTCTCAGCTATAAATCCAGCCATATACATATACATACATACATATATACATATACACACACACACACACACATATATATATACACACATATATATCTTATCTGTTGGGCTATATTAGTCTCCCACTAACTCTTTGCCAGCCACGAATTTTGAACACACACACACACACAGACACACACACATACATACATACATATACATACATACATACATATGTATATATGTTCAAAGTCAGTCAATAGACGTGAGCACCAGGGAATACAATAAATAATTTAATAATAATAATTTAGAGATAAAAGTTCTTAAGAATATTAAAAACCTTTAAAACACATAGAAATCAATAAAAGTGCCTAGCTTTTGTCGGCATCTGTCGACATCTTCAGGGCTTAGAATGCTGGTCAATGGGAAAGTCCCTTTATAGGTTTAATTAGGGCGTGTGCACGACTCTTCGATCTCGTCACTGGGCCGGTTATACTAGAGATCGAAGATCTCAGCATACTAGAGATCGAATCCAGCATTCTAAGCCCTGAAGATGTCGACAGATGCCGACGAAAGCTAGGCACTTTTATTGATTTCTATGTGTTTTAAAGGTTTTTAATATTCTTAAGAACTTTTATCTCTAAATTATTATTATTAAATTATTTATTGTATTCCCTGGTGCTCACGTCTATTGACTGACTTTGAACATGGATATACCCGGGGATCACATTTTTAAAGTAATTTCAGATATATGTATATATGTATGTATATATATTCAAAATTTGTCGCTGGCAAAGAGTTAGTGGGAGACTAGTATAGCTATTTCAGGCTCATTAGCCCTCATCAGCTAGTCACATATATATATAATTTCATCTACTTTTTTCCTTCTCCAGCTCCGATTCCCTGCTCAACCACGTGGAGCAGCTTCTGCGGGCTTTTATTCTGAAGATCAGCGTCTGCGATGCTGTGCTGAACAACAACCCTCCAGGTAGGACAGTCGGCAGAGCCGGTAATCTAGATGGCAGGCAGTGGGGTGGGTGGGGGGTTTCAGGCCGATATTTCGGCTTCGTTTTTTTCTTCACCCCGAGTTGAAGAAAACACCCAGTCCTGAATGAAGGGCTTCGGTTTGTTTCGAACTGTGGTGTTCCATATGAATTTCCCTTCTAGCAGTGCTGGGAAAATGAGGAAACAGTATTTTTTATTAATATCTGTAACCACCGAGCTAAAATAGTGCAGGAGTTCTCTTTATGCACCTCCCCATTAAATGGGCAGGACGCTTAGCAGGGACCAAAATATACAGGGTGCCTTTCAGTTAGGACCACAATTGAGCCCAACATTTCTGTTGCTAAGTGGGACGTTTGTTAAGTGAGTTTTGCCCCCATTTGACGTGTCTTGCCTTTCATTGTTAAGTGAATCACTGCAGTTGATCAGTTAGTAACCCAGTTGTTCAGTGAATCCGGCTTCCCCATTGATTTTCCGTGACAGAAGGTCGCAAAAGGGGATCACGTGACTCTCCCCCCCCGGGACACTGCGACCCTCATAAATATGAGTCAGTTACTAAGTGTCTGAATTTTGATCCCACGACTGTGGGGATGCTGCAACGGTCGTAAGTGGGAAAAAACGGTCCTAAGTCACAATTTTCAGTGTTGTCATAACTTGGAACGGTCTCTAAACGAATTGGTGTAAGTCGAGGACTATTTGTATTTAATCACAGGCTTTAATTCTGGATTGTGCCTCTCTCTCTCTCTTTCTCTACCTTGTTGGTTGCAGGCTGTACTTTCACCATCCTGGTGCACACCCGTGAAGCTGCCACACGCAACATGGAGAAGATCCAAGTGATCAAGGTAAGGAATCATGCAAGACTCAGAGGGAGCAGTTGTGTTTCACTGTCTCCACATTGGTCACCCCAACAATTTTAAAAACAATGACCAACGCCATTTTTAAGTATGAAACTCTACCTCGAATCTCGTCCCGGCTTCCGTTTTTACTAGCACCATTTTGAAGCATGAAATGTAAGGGTGTATGTCTACACATATGTTGTATATAGCATGTTTAAAGGTACACTTTGAGAGAAAGCAACTAAATTTCATTTTTAATGGGTGTTGTTGTGCTCACAGTAAAAAATGACAATAAAGGTTATCTATATAAATTCCATCCCAAATCTTGTCCCGGCATTTGTTTTTCTGTTTGGCTTGATCAAAATTTTGACCTTCCAGCCCTGACCCTGGCGTCTGATTTTATGAGTTTACTACAGGTCACCAACCAGGTTTAAGAATTAAATGACCGTTATTTGGTCTTCCTTCCCATTGTTTACATCTGCATTCTTAGGCACCACTCTGTGCACACTTTGGAAGGATCTACGGACATTCTCAGACATCCAGGAAAAAGGTGTTGTTTTTTTTCACGAGGCAAGTGGATTTCTTTGTTTTTCTTTGAAGAGGTTTCGCTTCTCATCCAAGAAGCTTCTTCAGCTCTGATCGGATGGTTGGGAATGGAAAGATTTATACTCCTTGCAGACAGCTGGTCATTTGCATCCTTTTAGCGAGTCGTTGAGGCCACCTGGAGGTTTACCTGTGTCCTCAGGGTGCAAATGGGTGTGCGGCCTTCTTGGAACTGCTGAAAGGATGATGGATCCACACCCATTTGCACCACTCAGGTGATCCGGAAGACACAGACGAACCTCCAAGTGGCCTCAACGACCCTCTAAAAGGATGCAAATGACCAGCTGTCTGCAAGGAGTATAAATCCTTCCGTTCCCCACCATCCAGTCAGAGCTGAAGAAGCTTCTGGGATGAGAAGCGAAACGTCTTCAAAGGAAAAACAAGGAAGTCCAGTTGCCTCGTGAAAAAAGCACCTTTGGGACACACTTTGAAAGTAACTCACAAATAAGCCTGGTCAGCGTTAGGAAGGTAGATGCTTTCCTAAGCCTGGTTCTGCTTACTCAGGGGTTACTATCAAGCATAAAGATCTGAAAATGCAGCTGAGCTGCAAGTCCTATGAAGTTTAGTCAGCAGTGCCAGCAGGGGGCGCTAGACCTGTGCAA